AGTTTTAAGACTAAAAGATGTAGATTTTACAAAAAAATCAGGATAAATGAAGATGAATATTCGTTTGTCATCACTGTTCTTCCCTTTTCTTCAATTTGTTTGTAATTTTGTTAACAAACATAATATAGAAAATGTTCATTGTGGTAAACGAAATAATAATTTGTTCTAAGTAAGAGTTTTTTCTCCCTGATTTGTAAAAAATCCTTACGTGATAGAAAAAGTGAATATTATTTTCGACATCTGCGTAGCTGAATTATGGACAATCCGTTATTAAAACCAAAACAACTTTTATGAAGTTTAAATTCGCGGACCTGTGTTATTGGACTTAAAGATTCCTATTAAATAATTTATTTTGTGGTTATGATTATGAACTGTGGCAGAAGAACCATCTGTAACCGTACACATTGTGAAAAAATGCATTTTATGTAGACATTGGTCATTTCAGCTTTTATTTTTCAAGCGTATTGTATGTTGTGGATAATTTTTAGTATGATACACTTCTTAGAGGTTAGAATTACTAATTTAATACTTCAGATAGTATAACACCGAGCAGTAGTTTGGCACATCCGGGTAGTCGTGGTCATATCAAACTGGTAATAGTCATCAGTTGAACATACAATATAGTATTTATGATGTGCTCTGTTGTATCGTATGCTTGACTATCTTATGAAAACATAAACTCCACGCCACTGTGACACCCCAGTATTTTTCAACCAACAGAGTCTCGACACTATTTCTTAGTGCGTAGGATGCCAAAAAGCAGGAGGAGCGATATGTTATAATCGTGGATAAATATTACACTCCTTTTCTTGTAGTTTAACTGCTTAATGTTAGGAAGAATCTTGCTAAGACGACCGACTGTGTGATCAACCCTTCTTCACTAATAACAACAGACATAGTTGAAGCTTTCATTCCTGTATCGATTTGTCTGACAGCAACGATTCTGAAGTAGAGGTGGCTGTGTACTACCGTGCACGCACACTTTTGAAGTAGCTCCGAACAGGTGAGGAAAATTAAGCTGACTGCCATAACAATAAGGAGAGCAGAGGATCCGCTGTTACACACCGATCAAATAACAGCTTTATAACTAAATTATCGATGAATGAAAAGTGAATTTTCACGGTATTTCTTTTTTGTTATAGTTCGTAGTAGTGAAAGGTATTTTTCACTTCTAAATCATAAATTACTTTTTTGCCTGATTTGCCATTGGACTAGTACTAGAAAATAGTATTAAAATATGATTTCAGGTGTTAGTTGAAATACCATATCCAAGGAAGTAGTAAAACAAGATCATAACTAAACGCTTATGATCAAACAAGGTTATAATAGTACAAAACAGCATAAAACTGGTATATTATGACAAGATGCTAGTTAAAGGGCAATATTCAGATTAGGATCACTTAAGGCAGTGTGTTACTGAAATATATTATTGGAACAAGTATGTACAATACAAATCGTGAAAAGTTAATTCATTTTACAGATGAAATATCATATTTAATATGATGTTTCAACAATCATCTGGACACATTTTAACATATTGTCCTCTGCTATGCTGTTTAAATATGATGTTTCAACAATCATCTGGACACATTTTAACATATTGTCCTCTGCTATGCTGTTTAAATATGATGTTTCAACGATCATCTGGACACATTTTAACATATTGTCCTCTGCTATGCTGTTTAAATATGATGTTTCAACGATCATCTGGACACATTTTAACATATTGTCCTCTGCTATCCTGTTTAAATATGATGTTTCAACGATCATCTGGACACATTTTAACATATTGTCCTCTGCTATCCTGTTTCAAGCAGGATATCAGACGACAAGATGTTAAAGTATGTCCAAATGATTGTTGAAACATCATATTTAAACAGGAAAGCGGAGGACAAAATGTTAAAGTATGTCCAGATGATTGTTGAAACATCATATTTAAACAGGATTTCGGGAAATATGTTAGAATGTGTCCAGATGATTATTAAAATATAATATTTAAAGAATATCGTGTTCAAACGGTAGTTGAAATGTCATATTTAAACAAGGACGTAGGGGACAAAAAAGGCTTAGAATTGTTTATTTTTTAATTGAAAAGATACTTTAAGCGTAAGTCGTATAGCCAAACAGTTGAAAATCCGTGGATATTAGAATGTTTAAATGTTAGGTGAAAAATCTACAGCAAAGAAATTGTTACTTATAAGAAATAAAATGATTGCTGCGCTATGTCATTCCTTTATTATTTCTGTTTCTTTTCTTTGTTTTTAAAGTTGCACTTCATAAATAGTGCATCTTTGACAATGTAGAGAGATTTAATGTTTTAAATTAAGCTACTAATACATCTTCCCTTGTTACTAGAATACGTAGAACAGACTATTAGCATTATCTGAATTTGTATTTTGATTTTTGTATGTGTGTTGCTGTAAGGATTGGGTGAAATTGATTTGTTGATTAAAAAACTGAATTATACAGTTGACATTGTTAAATTTCTTCGTTGGCAGTAAACAAGACTGACAAAACATACTCGTAATATTAACGCGAAGCCTTATTTCATACAGTTTATATTTGCAAGTAAAGCATTAGAAAACTGACTTGAAATTCCGGATGTATTGAAGAGAAAAAACAAAATACAAAGTCAGTAGGCTCTTAGCGTGGCTGATGAATAGATGAATCATTTTGCGATATCAGTCACCAGCAAAGCACTTCTGCTTTGCAGTGAAAACAGATTCAGAGGGTTGCTAATATAGCATTTTGCTTGAGATTATTAAACGGCACAACTTATTTTGTGTGTGTGTGTGTGTGATATATGTATGTGTCGTGAATATTTCATCGATAACGGTTTAATGTGTACTCTTGTCGAATTAAACCGAAGAGCAAACCTAAACAAGAACATATTCATGTATAATGATAAACGATCGTTACGACTCCGAATGGTTTAGTACATTCTGTGCCTCATATTTAAGTTTGTACATCTTTTATGCTCTGTTTTTTGTGCCGAGCTCGTATGAGTCATGACTGCAGCTTATTATCTTATCAAGTAAAGAAAATAAGATTATTGGATTATTATTTTTTTTTTTATGGTTTCCTGTGTCAGCGATTTTTCATATGAGTGATTCTGGGTTGTCCTTACAACACGTTATCGTACTCTTAAAAACACACAAACATTGGATTCCAGTGTTACCTGAACAGAAAGTTGAAAACTCGGATTGGTTCACATTTTATATTCATTGATGCTATGCTGTATTGTACCGCTAGTTTTTAAGATCTTGTATCCATTTAGTTTAATGTTGGTGAATCATGTTTTAATATGGTCTCCTTTCTCTACATTTTACGTTGGTCACTAAGCTTACTATCTCTACATATTTATGGCACAAACGGATAATGAAGGAATTGGTTTAGGCCTAGTACTAATGCTAGTATATTGAACTTCTGTGCTAAACATAAAACTTTTATAGCTATTGTTCTGCTAAGGTGTGGGTGTGAAAAATGTAGAATGTTAACATAAATTATCATGTTTTAATGCATTTGAATATGTTTTGTTTAAAAGTGATTAGTCAGTCTACCGTTGTGTTGGAAGATAAGGTAACTTTCAGTGGGAACCTCTTAATTTGCGATAAACTTTGTACTAGTTAGTTTCTTGCGTTATAGTAGATTTCGTTAACAGAAACGTCAATACCAGTTAGCTCTAGTTATTCCCTTCTTGTAGTTCTTCTGAAGACCCGCCCTTTTTCAGCTACAGAACCCTTTTCAGACATGATTTTTTTCCTGAGCCCAAGCTGGGAAGCCTGACAGGACAAGAAACCTTATATGTAGAATTGCTTGGCTGTAGCCTGACATCTGTCCTTAATACCTCGTCTTGTAATCCGCCTCTGTGCTATTACTATGCTCTTTTGCCAATCCTAACCCACCAGGTTACTGCTTACAAAGAAGATGCTGATTCAGTCACGTGATGGAAAGATAAAGCACAGGCCACAATGTTCCATCCCTTCCCGTTTGAGAGAGACAAGCTTTTTTTTTTATGCTTTACATTCTTTTAAGTACTGGCCCACAGCCCATGCCAAACTGCGTCTAAAGCATTGTAAAAACAAGTTTGCAGCAACCATTGTTTCTAAAGTCCCGGGAAGAACGTGCGTACATCAGTTTCAGTAAGCAGCTAATTGGATGACCTGTGCACGTGCCAACTTTTCAGTGGAATAGTCCGTAAGACTAAGGTAGTGTGACGTCATATGCAGTCAGAGTCACCAAGGTTTCAGATGTTGATCTGGTCTTGATGTCTTAAACATGCAGGTAGACTTGCTTATCTACTGTTTCAGTGAATAAGCGTTCCTGCTTGAACTTCCTGTTTCGGAGCATCTGTTTTAAAGTGTAAATTTTCTTGTTCAAACACCTGGTGATAAAAGGTTATTTGTCCGTTTTTTAGCTCCTCCTTCACCCTTCACCACCACCACCTATACCGATCACCAGCCATGGCTACCGTAGATTCCAGGCCCCTGTCGTCCTCAGACGGCCCCTCCGTCACCCTTACCATCAGGCTGATCATGCAAGGCAAAGTAAGTGTAATTTTTTTTTTTTACTGTTGTGTTTGCGATTCATCTTGCCTTTTTTCGATTACAAGAGACATAATTAACACCATTTAACTTGTACATAGTATAGAAAAATTAAGATTGATTGAGTCCTAAATTTTTTTCCCTCTGAATCTTTCTAAGCGCAGTCACATATAAAAGTTTAAACGTTTTCGTTATTTTGTTGTAAATCCTAAATTGATTGTTATAGCTCTTATTGTTTTTTAAATTATCTCAAGTAAAACGTACCTTGCAAGAAATGAAAACGACACATGTATAACTTATCACGGACTTCTCTATAATAGTTTGTGTCAATTTCGTTACTTTGTATAAGATAGTAGATAAAACAGCTCGGTACCGTCTAGAGTCATTTCTAGTCGTGTTTTCATACCTACTAGAACACATAATCTTCGGTTTCATACCTACTAGAACACATACCCTTCGGTTTTGAAGAACTGTTGCCATCACTGGTTCATTTGTATTATTTTCGAACGACCCATTCGTCACTAAACCACGTATTATAAATTAAAGCAACATTGAAGGCGAGATTGTTACTTGAGAAGGGCGAGACATGGGAATTTAGTGTTTAACCATCAAATATTCATAATTTGATTCCTTGTTTTAAAACAAATTAACCCACTTGTGTACATGCAAAATACATCCAAATTGTAAATTCGTGAAACTTGCTGATAATTTAGGAAATGTTATTGATTCACAAATTGCCTTTTAATTAATACTGTTATATATTTTAAACTTTGAGTTTTTTACTTAATAATAAATGTTCGGAACATATCCACTCTACGTAATCATTTAAATATCAGAAAGAGAAATGCATTATTGTATGCATTGTCTAGACTGTGTAACAAATATGATATATTGTAGTTTTTGTAATGTCTGTTTATGGTTTTATACATATTTTATTAAGAATTTCCTAGCATGTTGAAGCGGTCGATTTTTTTTTTTTCGTAAATTGTTTATGATAACTATTGGACCTGGGCGTTTAGTGGTATTTGCTACTCGATTAATCTATGGGCTTATTAATAGATTAGTACACCACGTTTCCAACAACCGGTACAAGAAAAAAGGGGGGGTGCTAACGTCTTAACTTTTTCAACCACTTCGTTTTTCTAACATGGTATTAATTTTCCAGTTTTCTTTTACAGTGATTTTTTCAAAGTAATTTGCGAATTATTCTTGATTTCATACGATTAGACCTCTTTTGAAGATTGCTGTTTGTCAAAAAAAAGGTTATTTCCAACTTGGCGGACGAATCGCTGTTGTTGACTAAATATCACATTTTTCAGATGTGCAGTAAACCCACATTGATCTTCTGTAAATCAATTAAATTAATAATTAAAACACGTTTTAGTCTCATGGTAAGAATAGCAATGGTATTATTTAAAACATATTACGATTACAACTACATATAATTAAGTAGCCAGACCATTTATGTACGTTGTTTGAATAGGATAAATATAAAAACGATATTCAATAAAGATTTCAGATATCACAATATTCTGCAGTCGTCTGCCACATTCACTGAACAGTAAACATATCTGATTTGATTATTTTATTTTATAGTATATTAATTAAAGAGTAAAAACATCATAATTCAAAACAAAGAACCAAACATAAACAAAATATTTTTTAAACTTTGTTGTAACTGTTTTCAAAGCTTTGTTTTATCATAAATGATTTAGCCACATGACGTAGCACCGTAGCAAGATTTCAACCAAGAAATGAATAATATATTCTGAAGGGGCAATAGGTTCTTAGTAATAATAATTCTTTGGGATGAGAGGGAAAAGAAATCAACAATTACGTTGTTTTGTTTACGGGCAAAACTCTTTGCAGCTGTGCAGAAATGAAAGTATTAACTTTTTTCATTTTGAATCACACGAAATATAAATCAGAGTGTGAAAAAAAAAATGTCGATTTTAAAATATTTTTATATTAAAATTGCTTTAAAATTTATGGTGAAAATATATGAAAAGCTAGAGGAAATCCTGTCTTCGGGTGCAATAATGTAGGAGAAAGGTATTTTATTCATCCTAAACTCTTGTACATGAAAATATATCATACATGCAAAGTAGTACAAAATCTATAAAAACCTGAAACTGGTACGGTTAATAGCATTCCACGGGTTTCTCCCTACAAATTTCCACAAGACTACTGTGTTAAAACTACTACATTTTTGTTGATGAAAATAAATATATTTTCCAACAACAAATTTTTATATAATGTTAAGATTCTTTATCACCTCAAAACCACCAACAATAAAATATTTAAAGAAATGGCTAGCTTAGGCTGTAGGCCTACATCAAGTGTAAGATAATTGAATACTTCATTCATTGTTGAAAATAAAATTATTTTTCAAAACGTGTGCAAAAATCCATACATGATATTTGACGAACAATACTGATGTTCGTAAAGAACAATAAAATATAGAAATGCCAAAGCTCGCTAGATTTCCGGAGTACTTATGTTAAACATTGTTAGAAATTCATACTTTGAAAAACTGTTACTCAAAACAGGGGCAGATCCAGGATGTTTTTTGGGGTAGAGGAGTTCCAACTAGACCTCT